GAGACGTCGGAGTTCTATAAGATTGATATTAATTCCAAAGATGGTATTGTGCCATCTCCTCGGCGGTGCAGGTTTTAACGGGGTCTCGTCTCCGTTGTTTCTATAGTTACATTAATATTGATACATCAGCAGCATCGGGCTCGCGTAAATTTGCATAAGAACGTCGTCACAGCGTATAAACGTGTCGACCAATGAAACGCCCGACGTAAGCCGCTGTATTGTACTGCGAAGCTTATACCGGGAGTCTCATTGGTCGAGACGCTTATTCGCTATGCTCTTATGTAAATTTGCCAACGATGGGCCTTAGTTTGTGCTTTTACAAAAGCACAACGCTAAATAGTGCTTCGCTCGCGCAGTGATAAACGGGAAATGAACGCGAGGCAACGTTATCTGTCGAAGAACGCGATGATTTCTACCCCGTCTGAATTCAATCGATCGACGCCTTTCCTTCCCTTTTGTCGTAATTTTCGGACTTTACTTCCGATTGAGGCAGCTGGACCGTGACAATACTGTTAGAAAGGTAATGGTCGATGCAATACGAAGCAGCTCAAAGAATCTGTGCTGAATGTTTATAGACATGATCTTTGAAAAAATGCCTGATCAAAAGGCACAAAGGAAATATAGCGCAATATTGCCAAATCTTTATAAGTTTGTTGTCACACACTTCAACTGGCATCAGAAATGATGTATTTTACGTATCAGGAAAGGTGATCTTGTAATTTTTTTGTAATATTTCTGCAAATCTTCTTAGTCGTAATTGTTCTATTAATTAATAATTTTGCAATTTTGTGTATTTCAATTATTCTAATCTTTAGTGATATGTACAATGAAATACATTACTAAAGATTACAACAGACATCATAATTTCAGTTGTAATTCCGGTGTGGTCCATTACTAGAAAATTTCCTGGTAATTTTTACTACATTTTCTCCGTGTACGTTAAGCTTTGAATTAGCGTTCGATCGAGGCGAGACGTGTTCTGTTATCCGCTCGTTAAATAACTCCACCGCTGACGTCTCTCGACGTTTCTCGTTCTCTCTCTCTCTCTCTCTCTCTCTCTCTCTCTGCGAGAAAAGTCAGACGAAATTTCATCAAGGAATATCTCCCCGTTAACCGCGCGTCGATTGTCGCGTAAACGGGAAGAAATAACCCGAGGAGCACTTTTACGCCGCGCGTCCCCCTATTACCGATGAAAGCGTTTCGCCCGGCGAACATCGGAAAAGAGAACACGAACTTCACGAGCCGTGAAAGTGCCGCCGCTTGTAAGTCGAGGAATGTCCACGGGCCGACGTCACCTGCCCGATTCGCCCCGAGACGTTGCCGTCGAGGCATCTGGAAAACTTGCGAATTAAGAGATTCGTTCGGCGCGAGCGGGTGTGGGAGGGGAGATCATTCGATTATTTCCAGCCATTAAGGAGGGCCCTCGCCCCTTCAGCCTCCCTTTAGCGTCGCGAGGGTGGAACATTCCTTGCAGCTTCTTTCCGAACTTTCGACACGAGTTTTACATTTCGCGCTCGGAGAAGGGTGAAGAGGCATCGGGAGAGAGAAAGGGAACGTGAAAGAACACAGAACGAAGGGAACGAGAGAAAGAGGATAAGAGAGAGAGAGAGAGAGAGAGAGAGGAGGTGGTGGAATCGAAGCGGAGGAAAGTCGGAGGAGCGACCTTCGTCGTGGCTTCTTCCTCGGCCGAAGATGGGCTCGCGCGAGCGACACATTCGACCCTCCGCCGCGATTGGTATTCCAGCCGGGCGCGGCAATATTGCGTTACCGAAACGCGTCGTGCAAGCCGAATTCAAACGACTACGAGCGCGATGACACGGCGCCGCTTGTAAGTCACACCGCGCGGCGCGCGCGTGTCTTTTAATTCGCGCGTCAGCCCGCTCGAAATAAACAGCCGGGGATGAGCGCGATTGAGACGTCACGTCCGCGCCGGGTCGATCTTTCTCTATCGCCGGGGATCACGGGGAATTGCGGCCTCGACGGCGCCGCTACGGGGACGTTATTTTCAAGAAACCGACCTCCTAAGCCATCCTCCTAAGCTGGCGCATTCTGTTACAAAGAAACAAACAACGTGCAGTTCGGCGTGCAACGCGTGCGCGAGCTTTCAGCCCCCGGTGCGGACTTTCCTTCTCACGCAGCTGAGTTATCTTAATTCTCACTTTTCACGCCCGAAGAATTACGCGAACATGGCGAGCAGCAGAAAAAATTGTTTGAAAAGCGAAAAATAGAGAAGAAGGAATATTTCACGCAACGGACAACACAAAGAGTCGGACGCGCAAAGCAATTAACTAATTTCCGTCCGGTTCTATTTCCGGTCACTTTCTCTCTCTCTCTCTCTCCCTCCCTGCGTATCAATTCCCGGGGATTTCGATTATTAAAAGGACATCAAAGTGGAGGTGAATCGCTATTGTTACTCATTTTTAACCGGCGGAAATCCGAGCGAGAGAGTTAAACAGCATTACGCGCGGCGCGTCTGGCCCGAGGGCGGACATCACAGAGGGCTGTTCGTCGGTGAAAATTTTCAAAGGCTCGACATCGATGGGCTCTCGCGCATCAGCGGGACCCTTTTCGCAATTTCTCCCGCCGCACGGGTGCGGAATCAAGTGTTTGAGATTATGACGGTGGCTCCGGTCACGTATTTCATTAACCGTCATGCCGACGGTTCGGGGGAGTTCAAGGGCGAGATCTCTCCGACGGAGGGTGCAGGTACCTGTGCGCGAAATGTGTTTGCTTTGCGTTACATCCCTCGGGATGATCCCGTTATAATTATGAATGTCGTTGTTGTTGCTGTGGTAAGTACCGGATATTCCTCGGTATCGGTTCCCACCGTTGGTCCGTCGCTCCGGAAACGTCCATCTTATATCGTTAAGTCTCCGTCAGTTGTCGAGTGAGAAATTCAATCATCGACATCGAATTGATCGTCGACTTGCGAATCCGGGTAGGGATTTGGCACAAGATTCAATGTGACTTAAAGGGTTCGAGACTTACGCTGTAAAATAGCATCGTCGATTAAATCGCTCGCCGATCGTTCTTGTTACTTTGATTTCCACGGGAAGACAGCTCAGCGCGAACTTCGGTGCAACGGGGAATCAAACGACGCTTATAACACAACCGATCGTGCTTGCAAACAGAAACTGCCACCTCAGCTGCGACTACTGTACACAGTAGACGAAGTTCACGTTCCGTCTGACGGAGTTCCGTACTTCACAGCCGAGAAACGCGAATATGTCGGTTCACCCGTATCCGTTTTACCGCTTCTTCCCCTAACTTCGCGAGGTACTTGAAAATTAAGGAAACAAAAAAGGGTGTCATCGCTACCGTCTCCGCGATAATTGCTTTTGCGAAGGCAGATCTCGTTATAATCATGTCAACATGTCCCGAAGGTAAACACGACGGCCTCAGCGGATGATAATAAAATGAGACCGGCGGAGTTTGATTTAATTGGTGTGCGATCATCCGCGCGTAAATTAACGAGCGACTCCCTCTCGGATGACAAATTCCTTTATCGTGATGCGACCGGGGGGAGGGGAAGAAAGCGCGCTCCTTCGTCCGTGAATCGAGATGAGCCCGTGTAAATCTGCGGTATCGGCAGACTCGTTTGCGGCTACACGCTGTACCGCCCCTTTGAAACGAGCAGCGACAGATTGGTATTACCATATTGGGAAAGGGACTAGACTTCTTATTTCCCTATCCTTTTGCCGTTACGAGGAAAGGGAAAAAAGAAAGAGAAAAGCGGTCGGTCGGCCTCCCCTCTCTCAATCACTCTCTCACTCTCTCTCTCGTACGATCGGCATCTCGTTTCTTACCTCGATTCTCCATTTCGATCGCCTCTCCGGAGCGAACTCCGTCCCCCTTTCCGACCCTCCGATACACCCCTCCGCGCGCGTGTTTTCTCTTACTTCTCTCTCTCTCGCGCAGCCCTTTTTCTCCATCTCTCCGGCTCATCCGATTCTCGTCCACATGCAGATTTCAATCTTGTTCGGCCGAGGCGTCGACACGTCCTCATCTTCCATTCGATTCCTCCCGCAAACTGCGCGTCCCTCACACACGACGCCCTCGGACGTGCGTCTCCTTAGTCCGCCGTCGAAGAGAAGGACAGTCGGAGCCTAAGCGGCCTGTATCGATCGCTCGCGACACATCAGCCGCAGGCTCGATTGGGGATCCCCGACAGCTTCCGCAGGAAATTCGCAAAAGCCCCTTCCCTCCCGGTCGAACGACCCTCCGATTTTCGCGCAAGACCACCTACTCCTCCCTCCTCGATGCTCGCCGATACTCGAGATCTCGATTCCGATCGGCGAGCTGGCCGAGAACCTTTGCGTCTGGAAAGAGCGAGCCCTCTCGAAGGGCGTCCCGCTCGACGAGCTCGGCCATTGTTTCCCGGCCTGGGAAAAGTCTTTTCCAGTCTATGAATACATTAGGAGCAAACAAAGGGCCGTCTACTATAATCCAGCGGCTCTTTCCTCACTCTGGAGACGTTACACGCGTTTATTAAACCCGGCCCGTCGACGCGCTTTCTTCAGCACTTGACGAGAACTCCCCTCGGTAACCTTCGCGGGGGAGGCCCGAGGTATCCCGCATCCCTTCTCGGTCCCCGTCCTGGTATTATCGCGAGGCGAAAGCAATTAACATCGCGTCCGTTCGGCCGCCTTGGTGCCGGCGTTTGATAAGCGAGGGATTAATAATCAGCGGGACAAGTGTAGGACGACGTCGATCGCGAAATTGACGTTGATCGAGGGGGATCGCGAAGACGCTCTAATGAGTATTCAGTGGACACACTCGTGTCGACATTTCGCCCTCGTGTTGAACCTTTGATTCTACAATACAGCGGGAACTGAAATAGCAGAAAATACGTTCAAAATGCGCCCGAAAGTTTCCTAAGAAAGTATATTTGCGGATTTAATTAGCGGGACTGTTTGAAAAGCGTCGAAGTAGCATTAAAATTGCGACTTGATTTATTCAGTGAAACATGGTACGAGTTGTTTGCTATGCTTTCTTTCCAGACTGAGATCTGCTCGAGCGCTCTCACGGACGTGATTCACGCTGTCATCAATGGAACGGATGGTTGCCTCTTCTGTTTCGGACACGCTGGTTTGGGTAAGTGTTACGGTCCTTCATTACTAATTTCACGTGTTTAATCAACATGTTCGTCCGTTCTGTCTTCCACTGATCGTGCAAACTCCTATTATTGATGTTTAATTCACTCTGTAAAGGTACTATAAATAAATGTAATTCAAGCTAAACAATATCTATTATTTCGTTTAATTAGTTCTTTATCGCGCGTACAGTCCATGTTGTCAATGTAATTATATTTTGCGCGCAACTCAACAAGACGCGGTAAAGTCCGCAATGCCGGCCAACGGCAACTCCCACGTCCATCAAACATATTATCGATATTATTATCAGTTTCCACTATTTGAGGCTTGCGAAAATTAACACGACTTTTGTTATTTTGTAAAAGTAACCCGAGAATACACGACCTGTTCGATTTTTTCCATCTCCATCCGTCCCCATGTATAACGCGAGATATAATATGCCGCATAAGCAAGATTCTTCGTTGCTTCGTTTCTTGAGAGAGAACGCGCATAAAGACACGGCGGGCTTCCCGCAGAATTTAATACATAGAATCCTGTTCCCCGAGAAATAACGTATATCTTAAAACGCGAGCGAGTCGAGACAATATCCCGCGAGCTTTCCCGTTTCTCCTTTATTCAACGAGCTCCCGTCCCGCATAGGCGAAACTCCATCGACACACCGACACGGCATCAACCGTGAAAATAATTACGTGAAATGTGAATATCCTTCGGAACTTTAACCCTTTGCACTCCGCTGTCGCCGTAGCGGCGACATGGTTGTTTTGCTGCCTCGGCACTTTAAGAAATTTTAAGTCCTAAAATTTATGTTTTTCTTTTATAATATAAGTTAGAATATGTTTTGTTATAAAATAGCTAAGAAATAAAAATTTTGTTTTATTGAAACGACTCTATTTTTCTTCTACATCATAGGTATGTACTTGGAACTAATAGCCTCTATGCATTACTAGGCTGGAGTGCAAAGGGTTAATCTCGCGCGTTTTATCTCGATCGAGCGCAGTGTGCCAACAACGTATACGTTTCGTAATATTTGTCTTATATCATCGCCATAATGTTTCTCGAAGGGCGTAATGTTGTAAACTCGACGCGACGTTTGAAACAATATATATATATATATATATATATATATATAGAAGAATATTCTATATATATATATATATAGAAGAAGAAAAAGAATAGTTAAGTTAGGTTTATATATATAGTAGTCGCATAATTAACTTTTAATTTCTAACTTAGCTTAATTAATCTAACTCTGCTCATTTTCACGTCATTGTATTTCTGTGCATAGAAATGTCTGTTCGTAAAAATATAGACTGTAATTGGGGCGAAAAGTAATCGGAGATTATATAGAGTCAGATTCGCTTGGGCTATTCATACAGCAGTGACGCAAATTTGTTATATTTAGACCGCCGTTCGTCCGAACACGTACGAAGGCTTCTCCTTGACCCGAGAAATAAATTATTCGGGCATATCGACGACGGTCCTCTCAAGAGGAAGGGGATGTCGCGAGGAATCTTTATTTAGGCATTTCCATCGTTCGCTCGACTTCTCCTCGTTTCATTGCCGCGAGGTACAAGCCGGCAAAGACGCGGAGTTGTTTTACATTTTAAGTAGTGATATCGAGTTTGCATGCAAATGTACGATTATGCGCGGAAAGTGCTCGGAAGGGAGGAGATCCTCGAGCGGTAATGTCGGCACGGGAAAAAGAGCGAGGAAAGCGAAGAAACTGGAGGAGACGAGGAGAAACGTGGATGAGGAACGAGGAGGAGACGAGACCGGAGGAAACAGCGATAATGTATGCCACTGGGACACACTTTCTCCCTCGTACATTTCGAATCTTAACACGGGCGCAACCCGGGAGATACTCCGCGCGTTCCTTCATCGCGCGCTTCTCGGCGTGAGAACTAACGGAAGTTTATGGAAAACATCTCTCGCTGCTTCGCCCCCCCCCCCCCCCGCGGGAAATATAAATTTTCCACGAGGTGATTATTGATCGAAGTATTCCCAGTCCGATAAAAAAATAACGCTCGAATGTAAATATGAAAAGAAAAATGTGCATTTTTGGAAAATATGTTTTTCACAGTTAAACTTAAATTAAAATTTAATTCAAATGAAAATGTACAAATTTAATCGAATTTCTTTTTCGGAATGAAACTTTATTCCCTATCGTTGATATTCTATTTTCATAGTTATTTGCGTGCCGATGTTTACCTCAGTTCTACGCGACAATCGTAATATCGAAATAATAATGCCCGCCGGGAACGACAAATCCTTTTTATGATGGTGATCGCAGACGGTGCTCGTTAAAATATTTTTGACGTCAGAGCTAACTGGAATAGAGTTGTGATAACGCGATAGGCGCCTTAGCGTCTGCTTTCGCAGTCGACACCAGAACCAATTAAACTTCGTGAAATGATATCTCTCGTCGAGTTTCTTGGCGTAATATATCCTATATACATATATATTATATATATATTTTTTTTTCTCATTGGAGAATTTTTTATATCAAGCAGACGGACTGGCAGGTAAAAGTTTATTTAGACACGATGTGCGCATGGAGATAGCGTTAATTGAACGGGGCAGGTGGCATTATTACGCGAGCGGAGTTGTCATTCCCGTAAATCTATATATGTTCTTGGAAATAAAGTTTTAGTTGAATTTACCCGACGATAAACAAACGAAACGCGCTTCGATTGAAGGAGACGGAGAATTTCCAATGGTTTCAAGAACCGAATTTGATTCATAAGAACCAGACATTCCCTTCAACCAAAACGCATTCGATCCGTTCATTATCAGGTAAATTCAAACTTCTTTTTCCGCGAGCTTATAAGAATTACACGGCAATTATCTTTAAAATCACGCAGATAAATCGCCATCGCCCGTGGAGAAATTTCATTTCTGACATTTACTTCGTCGCCAAAAGAGGCAAACGCGCACAGTTTCGCAAAGCGCGGCTCTTAGCGAGCTTCCGTTCTTCCCGGTTCGATACGGTTTCATAATTCCGCACCCGCGTTGAGAAATCGTCGGCTCTCTCTCTCTCTCTCTCAACATCGAAGTTCGTACAGTCGAGCGGGATTTCCCGGCGCGTGGGAGGAGAATCGATAGAGCCGAAAATAAAAGGAGTCTTGCGCCGAGAGATAAGAGCCTAACGGCCGTAGACAAAGAGCCGCGTAAAAGGAAGCCAAACGAACTCGCGGCGTCTTCCCTCTCTCTTTCGGAGGTACTTCAGGCAAGTCCGCGAGCAAACTGCTTTTGATCATCGCTACGAGAACGTTTCTCTCCCGCGTGCTTCTCCGCGCTCTCCGGCTTCCGCCGCTTCGTCCTCGTTCTCCCTTCCGCAGCTACTCCTCGCGCTTCGTCTCTCCCTCTCCCTCTCTCTCTCTCTCTCTCCTTCTCCCTTCGCCTCGACTCTCTCCGAACTTTTCGCCACCCCTTTGAGCCATCTTCGTCCTCTGACGCGAGAAGGCAGGCGAGAAAAAGGAATCGACCGCGGTTGGGATAGTGAGAAAGGAGGAACGTTGAGAATAAGAGCGAGAATTGAGAGGCCCAGGTTTACGTAGATTCATTGAACACGAGGAAGGCAGAGAGAGGGAGAGAGAGGAAGCGTGAAAGCAATCGAACCAGCCCAGCATTCTTCAAAATGTTTCATGCGGCGTGCGCTTTTATTTCGCTTTTCATTTCGCACGCGCGATGCAGTCGCGAATCGGTGCAATCGACCGCATTGTTCGCTCTCTCGCTCTCATCCGTCCGAAAAATCGCGTGTAAAGGGCGTGTGGAGGAGTCGCGAGGGAAGATGGGCGAGAGTGTGTTGGAAGAAAGGGGATGAGAGAGAGAAAGAGAGAGAGAGAGAGACCCGCGCTTTCAAAGCAACGGGTCTTGTCTGTCGCGAGAGAAATGGAAGGACAGAGCGGAGGGCTATATACAGATATAGAGACGACAATGGGCCCGTTTGTACTTTGTAGCGCGTTCCTAATTACCCCCGCTCGCTCGCGCGCGGACTTCACGGCGGCGGACACCCCGCCGAACCCTTTGAGATCGCGGAAGGACCGTGAAAGTGGATTATGCAACGACGACGAGGGGAAGAAGCACGCGTGCTTGATGCACCGGGACTATCCCCCCTCTCTCTTTCTCTCTCTCTCTCTCTCTCTCTCTCTCTCTCTCTCTCAAAAACACGGTGCTTTGACAATGATAATCTTAGTAAGCGATTCAGTCAAAGGAACCGCACTCCTCTCGTCTCGGTCCTGTCCTACGCGCGGACGGCGGGATTTATCTCGTTTCTGATTATTTCGCGCGCGTGAATTCGTGCGACGAGAAAATTATTCTCGCTCGCAGCGTCTTTTTGACACGTGATAGATGCGAAATGTTTCATTTGTCATTGATTCGCGGACTAGCGCGGACCTGACTCTTCCTCGCTCTCTCGCTTCGTTACGGGGCTGGGTGTGCGGAATTTAATCAACGATCTGCGGTGGTAACTTGATTCTTATAAACTCCTCGATTCTGTGTCGGTCCGATGTGACATATATTGAAATTTGCCAAATTTATATCGATATTATATCAACTCTCGCGCGTGTGCCGACCGTAATAGAAATATATATGATAGAAACGAGATTAGATCGCAAGTGCAATTTCTGCTCCCGGAACGAGAAAGTAGAAAAGAACGTAAAAAATGGCAGGAAAATAATAACAAACTTATATAACGTGGTTCTTACAAATACCTCCACTTCGATTCAATGTAATATTGAAATTTCCCCGATTCATATCGACATTGCATCAAAATCGTACGATTACGATATTACATTAATTATATATGTAAAACCAAGTTTAGTTGAATTGACGTGACGATAAGCGAATTGAACGCATTTTCGTTCAAGGAGACCGAATTTCTGGTCCTAACATTCTTTCTTCTCCGTGTATAACAGACAATACAATCAGTACATACATACATTCCACGTGCCTATTCCAGAAACAAAATAAGAAAATTGCCACCAGAACGAAATAACAGGACGCGGCATGGGAATAATAATAAACACATAATCCCCGCCGCACGCGATCCGCACTGGTATCGACGTTTTTCCCACGAACGGAATTTTAATTATCACTCGCATTCGTCTCAAAGTATCCCTATGCGTGAGCGCCGTCGTCTGAGAATGCAGCGGCCGCCGTTTTTCTGCTTCGTCGTCGTCGTCGTCGTCGTAACGGCCTCGCGAATCTCGCGGTGGCATAGCGCGAATTCTTGCGGAATTTTTGCGGCTCCCCCGCTCAAATCTTACCGGCGCTGCGGCTGAATTCTACGCTCCCGAAGCTACCGGGGTAAGGAAGTTCCCGAGACGTAAAAGCGGCCCGTTACACCGGCGAGATGGTTGCCCCCTCCCCCTCTTTCGCGGCGTTTCTAATTAAATAACAACATAATTCACCGTCTCTTACATTAAGACAATTAAATAACGTTTAAGATTCAACAGCGGCTGCTGCTTTTCCATTATTTCATCGTTGCCGGCGGNCCCCCCCCCCACCGTCAGTTTTCTTACGCCTTTCGTTTCAACTTCTCGTCCTCCTTCGCAGCGTAACCCTCCCGAGCCATAAGTCGCCTCCGTCGTTCCCGTCGGACTGTTTTATGATTTTAATAAGAGCTCTTTTATTTCTCTCTGCCAATATAGCGGCGCATTCGAGTCGGTTTCGCCGTAAACGTTCGCGCTCAAGTTTTCGCAGCGGCGCGTTACCGGCGCGCGTTATCGCGACTTTCGCCGTTAAAATCCGCGGAGATTTTTGCGCGAACGGGGGGGGAGGGGGATCATTCAGTTCCCCGCACTTTGTCGTCGCTAATGATGCATTAATTCGAATTTATCGCGCGTCGTTCGCGCGTCGTTGCGCGACGTTAACGATCGATCGTTTTCGCTGTTCGTCGTCTACTTCGTGGTGTCGACATAATCGCCGCTTGTCATTCTAGCCGTTATGCCGTCGTCCGCTAAATAGTAAACAAATTAAGCGGCCCGCTCGGGCCCGACCGCAAATCTGGCATCGCAATTATTGCACCGTGTCCCTCGCACGCCGGCCGTGCTGCATAAACGGGATTTTCGAACTCGTCCATGTGAATTGATTCGTCGCGACACACGCGTGGGAGGAGGGGGTGG